GCCATGGCCAGGCAGCTGCTGGAGCGTGCTGCGAGCAACGGCTGGAGATGACAATAGAGAGATGGAGAAGAGTTATTCATGTTTCCCCGAGAGCTGAGATCAGTTGAAACATCATTTTCCTCGGGGACGGAGAGGAAAGAGCTCCCTTCAAACACATTGTCCCATGAGACTCATTAAAGGCTCATCAATTACAGTGAGAGCAAACAATTCGGGGGAAAGCTATCATAAGCCTTCCTTTGGATGGCAGTCATTAGCAGCTCTCCGCTGTGCACTGCTGCTCCCCAACGCCAGCTCGGGCGAGCAGAAAGGGAGCCGGGGGGGCACCACTGCCAAGCCGGTGATGGAGGGGAAAGCAGGAGCCCGGTGGCCTGGGAGCCAGCAGAAGGGGACCAGGTCTCCACAGCATCCCTGGGGCCATGCGGCCGTGCAGTAGCATCCTCATGGTGAGCAGAGTGGAGCTGAGACCACAGGCTGGACTGGAAGGAGACTTGGAAGGGAGGTAGTGGCCCACTGTAGTGGACTTGTGTTGCCCCATGTCCTCACCCAGGCTCTTTTTTAAGGAGCTCAGGGCAAGGCAGGATTGGGCCATGGTGGGAGCTGGGTGAGAGGTGTATGGGGATGGAGCAGCTCTCTGGGTCTCCAACCAGCGAATGGTTCCTTCAGCCCTACCCAGCACAGCAGCGGGGTCATGGCATCAGCTGCCAGCACCCCAAGATCTGTCTGGCTCAGCCCCACAGGGAGGGAGAGGGATGAAGAAATGCTCTTTTTCTTCCTCTGCCTTACTTCCCTGCTCTGCAAGTGGGGTTACGGACAGAAAAGAGATTCTAAACCACGTAAGGATCCTTGGAAGGAAAGCAAAGGGCTGGGGTGGCTTTTTAAAATTATTTCAAAAGTCATTATTAATGAAAGCTTAGGGACAAGGGCTACTTTCCCACTCCCAGCGTGGCTCCTGCAGGTTTGCGGCACTCACCCCCGGCTGCACCCCGTTTCAAAGCCTGCGCACTGGCATCTCCTTCCCTCGCACATGGGCTTGGCACCAGACACCTCTCCAACCACTCGCTGCTGTGACCTCCAGGATGCTGACTTGGAGAAATGCAGGGACGGCAAACTGTTCTTTATGGCTGTAAAAAAAAAAGAAAAAGAGAGAAAAAAAAAAAGGACACTTTCCTGTAGACTTTCCTTGGCGCTCCAAGCTCCGTGATGTTCCCTGGTGGAGGCATTGGCAGCGTCAGACCACACTGCACCACTCTGAGGGAAGGCAGCAGCTGAACGACCTGCACTAAAATAAACTCATAAATACCCCGTAGGGCAAACGGTAGTGCATTGGGCCAATCATTGCTCCAGCAACTTTTGCTGAGGAACAGTTTCTGTTTAATGCAAAACGCAGTTATGAGCACCTACTAACAGCCCAGTGCAGGACTTGGGTGTCCCCAGGCCATGGAGGGTGCCTGTGGGTGCTGTAGCTCCTGCTGGGTGTGCGCTGGGGCTGCTCCGCACCACGGCTGCATCCTACGTGGGCTCTGAATGCTCACTGGGAAATAGCGCTGTCACTGCTATCCTTGACCTATGAGCTAGAGAGGAGAAACACTCCCAGTTCTTCAGATCACCTCCGGAGCCAAAGAGACCATATTGCAACCAGCCCTTTGCTGGAGCAGCCCTGGGACTGGAGCGGGGCCATCGCTGCCTTCTGCAGGACGCAGCGCAGGTGGCTGCCCCACTGCTGCTATTTAAGCCTCATTGCTAAGTAGCTCCTAACCTTTCCCTTCATCCTCTCTTTCCTGAGATGGCTGGCCGCCCGAGGAAGATGAGCGGAGGCAAACAGGACTAGCAGCTCCCACCCAGGAGACTGGGCTAATGTCATTTATTCCAGTCTCCACCAGCTGGATCTTGGCTGTGGAACGACGTTGTGCAGAGACCATCAGCAAACGCACGTCCTTGGGCTGCCGGCCCAGAGAAGGAGGCAGAGAAGCCTGAAGAAGGGGTTAAAGCCAAGCCGCCAAGCACGAGCAGCAGGGAGGCCCGGATGCAGAAACCTTCACACAAAATGGGGTTGGCAATCGGGGCTGGCTGAAGGAGCTTGGCTGTTCGCTATTAAATAATGCAGCCTGATTGATTGGGCTGAAAAGTGCTGTGTTGCGGGGTCAGCTTGCTGGGGTTACAGTTCTCTGCTTAGATTGATGATCCTCAAAGGTCGAATTCAGAAAGCAATTCCCCGGTAAAATTGATCCTTTGGATAACAAAACTTTTGCACAGTGGCGAAGACCTGAACAGCGAGAAATATAAGTGACCCAGGTGCAGGCAGGGAGGGTGACCGGCTGCCTCTGCTTTCTCTTTATTTAATTTTCCTTGGTTACGCCGATTAGGAAGTGAGGGTCTTCTCTGGGAAGAGCAGTGCTCCATCACCCCTACATGCAGTGGCTGGGGGACGCCCATGAGCCCC